GTGGGATACTACACTGGTTATTCCTGCCAGTGGCATACTACACTAGTTATTCCTAACACTTGCTAATGGAAGTTTGTTAAACACTGGTCACAACTAATTGAGGAGGCCATTATTGAGTTTTACTTTGCATTAATGTTTTATAACTAAGATTTTTCCTTTGGTTTATGTTTTAATTATTATTTAACATGCTTTAACTTTAAATAAGGGCTACTTATATTTTTACTTACTAAGTTGTCTCACATAATTTTTCCTCATCCACCATTTCAGGTAGTGAGACCAGAGACATAGGAAACCCAAAGGGAGTGACGAGCTAGAAGGCTAACAACTTGTATTTGGGACTTAGATTAGTTTGGAGTTAGGTTGCTAGTCAAATTATTTTTGAACATAGATGTTGGTATATAAATCATTATGTTGTAGACTAGATTCTCTTAGAGATAGTTATAACTTTATTACTGGAGTTGTATAATTTTTATGCACTCTTGGTCTAGTCAAACTTTGGTTATTAAAAGTTAGATTTTATTTTGAGATAGTGGATATTAGTTTAATGGATTGTCAAATATGACTGAAGCAGGTTTTGAGCCTTATGCCTTTGTGGGCGTCTCTCACAAGTATATGGCATCTATTTCACTCTCGGTTTTGGAGCATGACAAATATGAAGAATGTGGCTTTAAAAAAACAAATTAGAGTTGATATCATGTCTTCTTGTTGCTGAGCATAATAATGAACTTTTGAAGAAAAATCATCAATCATGACCTCTAGTTCAGCCCCATTTCCTGAGGCAAATGCAATCTCATATGATAATGATAGCCGTGGTCGCGGCCATCATCGTGGTCGTAATAATGGCAATAACCATGGCCAAGGGTATGTTTGTGGTCAAAATAATACCTAGTGTCATAGTGGTTTTAACCCCAAATATGAATTTGCTGAACAAAAGAATGTAAGGGGTAGAAACTTAGAAAGAACTTGTAAAAAATCTTGAAAGTTTTTGTTATTGATGTGGAGAAAAATAACAATGAGAGTGTGTTTATTGTACTGCTAGATATTTGGTTGATATTTACCAAGCCTCACTTAATGAAAAAAGGAAAAAGAAAAGATCCAAAAATGAATTTCATTTAATACAACAATATAAATATTGATACATCCCTTAACGTTGCAAATTTTTTTTAAGGTGTTGGCAAGTTTTAAAATGTTGGTGATACTTAAAAGTTTGATTTATTGT